CCGCGAGACTTCGGCTGTTCGCCGGACCCCGTTATCCGGGCATAATCGTTTAGATGATTACAACCGAGTAGGATATAATCAATCAATCAATCAATCAACCACTGGGAAGATCTCGAACCCCGAAATAACTCATTTTGCGAGCCTGACCTAAAGACAGCAGTATTCGGGCATCGCACTTTCAGGAACGATAGCAAATAAACCCCAGAATGCTTATATATAAGTAGGGGCTTGGTACCGAGTCTCAGTAACTTTCATTTTCATTATGATCCATCAAGAAGAGCGACATCACCACTGCTTTACACCATGCACTTATTCGACTGCAAAGATGAATGTCACAAGAAGCTACGAGAGCATGCAACACAGATAAAATATAGCTCCGAGGACATGATCGAAGAGCCAAAAGCGCGTGCGGGTTTACTACTTCCGAGAAATTTACACCCAGCGACGGCTCAAAAGTTTGTTAAATTCTTCTACAATTCATATGTGCGTCTGAGTCTTCCCTTCGAGCCATCATGTCTAACAAAGCACCAAGCAAGAGAAAATATATAACTGGGCGAGGGAAGAAGGGTTGCAGATCACTAAAGACGTCTTTCGAGGGCCGGAAATCATCTTGTTGAAGGTCAACGGGACACTTTATGTTCGGAAAGATCGAGTATTGCTTTCCATCGTAATCCCAAAGCCTTCTGAACATCAGTTTGCAGATGAAGAAGAACATGGTTACAGAGGTCCTGCAGCCAAGACCTCACTGGTCTCCCAAGCTGAAGCTTCGAGTACGAATGCAGGTCCTCTTCCGCCTGCTAGCATAACAATAACTTCAGATTCCGATAGCTCCCTACGTCTTACGCTTACGGGCTTGGACATTGGCGATGTTATCATTCTGGAAGCAGGGGAAAGGCTTCTTGTGGATGGCGGGAGTAACTCAAAGGCTCAGAGTATTTGCTTGGTTTCGACTACGCATATCACATCTTCTGGAGTGGCAGGAGAGGGAGGATGGAAAGAGGAAGAAGGAAACGAGCCCGCTATTTGAGATATTCAGTTAAATCCTAAACATGGCGATCCTAAGTTGAAAATAATATCTGTATCTCCCAAATTTCCAA